GCCTTCCTGATGAATTGGCCTATCATTATGAAATGTTGTATTTTATCTCTAGTAATACTCCATTTCTTAAAGTCCAATATTAATAGCACTCTAATAAATTTGTCTGATATTAATATACATAGTCAAAAACTTCATCTGATATTAATGTAGTCAAATAAATTTCTCAAGCTTTTCCATTCTTAGGTCTTCAGCCCGTGTATATTTGCAGTTGGGTCTTACTTAGTATCCATTCCAGCAAGTGCTAAGTCAGAAACTGTGAAGGGTCTGAGATTTTGCCCTACTTGCAAGCTAATAATTTAGTTTACCATGATTTCACTCAGTACCAATGAGATAGTTGTTAATTCATGTTGCCTGTTTTGAAATATTAAACAACAAATAACTTTTGTTTCCTTGTTTTCACGAGTGTCTGCTATATGACATAAATGTTTAGTGTCTTTTTTGATAACTCAGATACAAGATATTACCGAACGACTTCAAATACTTTAATTAGAGGAAGGCTTATATACTTATGATTTAACAAATTCCCCTGAGCATCTAGGCAGCCATGGATTTCTCAAACCAACTCTCAGATATACAATTTTGTCTAGAGTTAGCTCCATATCAGCCATATTAAAGGACAGACCATCAAAGCATTTGCCCAGGATACAAATCTGTAAGGATCACTGAAATATCACTAACATAAATCAGTTATACATACCAGCTGACTAAGATTCCTTCCTTACCTAACTAGATAAATGTAAATTGTTCTCATTACCAGTGAAGTAGATAGTGCTCTAAAAGAAAAATACAATAGTACAAAAAAAAATCCCTGGAACAGACATCTCTGTTTTAAATAATGTCATAGGTATAAGTTGTTTTATGCAGTTACATGCCGCAACATCAGCCATGAGACATAAAGACGAGTTGCCTAAGTTGGCAGTTGCAGTGCACTGATACTCAGAAACTGAATAATGCATGACGTAGTGCTATTTACTAGGAAGATTTTAATATCATAAAACTAATTTCTAAAATCAAAAAAAGTTTTATTCTTCAGAAAAACATACATAATAAATGGACGTAATCCTTTTAAAATAACATAAAGAAGAAAGTAAACAATTTTTGTTAAAAAACATTTCTCCCCATCTCTACTAAATAAATGTTAACTGGCTTTTAATATACTGACTTAAAGTTATTATTCTGGTCATTTGCTTCTCTATAACAAACCACCCTAAAATTTAGTAGCTTAAAACAGTTTATTAAAAATCTGTGTTGAATGGCTGAGCTGGTTTATTCTCCCTTGGAAGTCTCATGCTATTGCACTCAGATTTGTGCTGTGGTTGGTGTTATCTGAAGATTCCACTTCGCTGGACATCCAAGATAGTTTCTTCAGTCACATGTCTTGTGCTAGGCTGAGAAGGCTAGAACAGTTGGAACCAAGCTAGTTATCTCTCTCCAATGCTGTCTTGCCTGTTAGCTAGCTTGGGCTTCTTTTCAGCATGGTGATCTCAAAGGCACTAAAATTCTTACATGGGGTTGGGCTTTTCTTAGAGTGAGCATTCCAGAAGTCCAAGTTGTAAGCTGCAAAATTCTAGCATGGTAAGTCACACAGTATCACTTCCATAACATTCTGTTGGTAATAAGAAAGTCACAGGGCCACACTGATTAAAGGGGAGGGGACTACATAATCCTGCTTCATTGGACATTATGTTTGGAGACTGACTATGACTACCACAGGAGTGCTTGACATGTGATTTTATCTGCTTGACACATTATTTTAATCTCAAGAGCATATGAATGTAGAATTTGGAACTTTTTAAGTTGACTCTGTCAGCTTCTGCTAAGCAAGCTGTGCCTCCTTCCTCCCAACAGAAAGTAGAATACTTTATTATGACTCTCTATTTAATCTCTTTTGTTTTCTCTGTCTTCAAAGACTACATTAAGTACATTCACATTGTTGTGTAACCATCATCATTATCCATCTCTGAAACTTCATCTTGCCCAACTGAAATTCTGTACCCATTAAGCACTAACTCCCCATCCTTCCCTCCCCACCAGCTGGTAACCCCCATTCTACTGTCTCTATGAATTTGAATACTGTAGGTACCTCATTTAAAGTGAAATCTTACAACATTTGTCCTTTTGAGACTGGCTTATTTCACTTAGCAGAATGATTTCAAGGTTCATTTATGTGTAGCACGTGCCAGAATTTTCTTCCTTTTTAGACTGAAAAAAATTCCATTGTATGTCTAGGCCACATTTTGTTTATCCATTCATCCATTTATGAACACTTGGATTGCTTCCACCTTTTGGCTATTATGAATAATGTTACTATGAAAATGGATATAAAAATATCTGTTTGAGTCCCTGTTTTCACTTCTTTGGGATATAGTCCTCAAAGTGAAACTCTTTTATCATATGGTAATTCTATGTTTAATTTTTTGAAGAATCAGCATACCAATTTCCACAGCTGCTGCACCATGTTACATTTCTACTAGCAATGCATAAGAGTTCCAGTTTCTCTACATCCTTACCAACAGTTTCTATTTTTTATTTTGTTTTGTTTTTTAAATAATAGTCATCCTAATTGGTGTGGTGTGGCATTTCATTGTGGTTTTAATTTGCATTTTCTTAATGATTAATGATGTTGAGCATCTTTTCATGTGTTTGTTTGTATTTGTATATCTTCTTTAGAGAAATTTCTATTCAAGTCTTTTGCCCATATTTTTAAATCAGGTTGTTTTGTTGTTGTTGAGTTGTTGAAGTTCTTGATATCAATCCTTATCAGATATGTAATAGGAAATATTTTCTCTCATTTCTTGTGTGGCCATTTTACTCTGTCGATAGTGTCCTTGGATCCACAAAAGTTTTTAATTTTGATGAAGTTCAACTTATCTATTTTTCCTTTTGTTTGTGCTTTTAGTGTGATATCAAGAAATTATTGTCAAACCTAATGTCATGAAGCTTTTTCTGTATGTTCTCTTCTGAGTTTTTAGTTCTTCTATTTGGATATTTGATTCACTTTGGGGTAATTTTTATATGTGCTGTAAGGGTAAGAGTCCAACTATATTGTTTTGCAGTATCCAACACCATTTTCTATAAAGATTGTCCTTTTCTCATTAGATGGTTTTGGCATCCTTGTGGAAAATCATTTGACCATATATAAGAGGGTTTATTTATGGGCTCTCTATTCATTCCATTAGTCTGTGTGTCCATCTTTATGCCAGTACCACACTGCTTTGATTACCATAAATTTGTAGTAAGTTTTGAAATCAGGAAGGGTGAAACATTCCGTTTTGGGTTTTTTTTTTCCCCAATATTATTTTGGCTATTCAGGGTTCCTTGACATTGTATGTAAATTTTAAAGTGGATTTTTCTATTTCTGCAAAGAAAAAAAAAGTCATTGGGATTTGAGGGATTGAATAGATTGAAGGTAGCTTTGAGGAGTGTTGTCTTCTTAACGATATCTTCTTTGAATTCATGAGCATGGTAGGTCTTTACATTTATTTGCATCTTTTTAAAATTATTTCAGTCATGTTTTACAGTTTTTGGTGTATAAGTCTTTTGCTTCCTTGGTTAAGTTTATTCCTAAGCATTTCTGTGCTATTGTAAATTGAGATTGTTTATTTCCTTTCTGGATTGTTCATTGTTAAGTGTATAGAAATGCAACTGGTTTATATGTGTTGATTTTGTATCCTGCAACTTTGCTGAATTCATTTATTAGTGATGGTTTTAGGTGGAATCTTTAGGGTTTTCTAAATATAAGATTATGTCATCTGGACTAGAGTTAATTTTACTTTTTCCTTTCTAGTCCGATGCCTCTTTTTTTTTCTTGCCTACTTGCTCTGGCTACAACGTCTAATATTATGTTGAATCAAATGGTAAAAGCAACTTCTTACCTTGACCTGGGGAGATTCTTGAAGGAGATTGTTTTGGGAGCTAAAAATCTTCTCCCCCACCTCTGGTGCTACATCACTACATTCTGCCTATCTCATATGTTGGACCACTTGGAGATCTATAGTCCTCTATCACCCGAAAGTATATATAGTTCCCTTAATCGGAGCTATTTAGAGTAGAATAATGTTCTAGCCAGGAGAGGTCTTTAGAAAGATGGTTAATAGTAACCTATGGCACTAAAAATTCTAAAAGAGTTCTTACCAACCATCTCCTAACCCCATGCATTCTAAGGCGTTCCCTTTGGAGGTTTCTCTACCAGTGATTCGTAGGCTCATCTTTTTTTTTTTTTTTCATTTTCCAGCAAATAATTATTGAATCATACACACATACGTGCACGAACACACACACACACACACACACACAGAGTCTTCCAAGGACAAAATCAATTTTTGAGACAGTACAGCTTAAACTAGAGAACATAAATTTCAAGTGTCTGGGGGCAATCAGAAATAAATGAAATAAGAAAGTTAAGAAAAATAGGGAATGGCAGGGATTGGGGCAGGTGTTTGGAGCTATGTGTGATTAAGAATCCAGATTTGCCAGATCTTCCAAATTTTGAAGAGAAACTGGAAATTCACATTTTTATGTAAATTTCCTGAATTTTTAGCACAGTTCCAACTTAAAATGACAGCCAATTTTAAACTTGTGGTCCAAAAGAAAAATAAAAATGTACAGATTTTATTGAATGCCTCATAATTTTCAAAGCTACTTCTTTCACTAATGAATTCATTCTTCATATTACAGAAAATGGCATAGCTTTCTTAGAAAAGGTTTTCTCCACAGGACAGTTTGCGAGTGGGAATAGGTATGCGGACCTGTCAGAAATTAGAAAGGGACACATTAGAGAATCTTCTCTTAGTTGCAAGAGACCTGGGTAAAGTTCTGAAATTACCATTTACAAAGAAATAAGTCTTTGGCAAACACCTGTTGTAAAAAATTTAAAATGTGTTGTTTTTAAGTAAAATTTTAAAATATGAAAACACTGTTATATAATAAATGCATCATTTTGAAACTATTTTCTAAACTTACCACCTATTTCTGTTGCCTACTTTGTGTTTTAAATATAGAGCTTTTGAGGAAAAACGAAAAGAACAAGAAGAAAAAGAACACCAAATTAGAGAACAAATACTTCAACAAAGAAAACAGAGGTTTGAAGAAGTTACTGAAAAATTCCAGCGTGCCCATATTCCTCTTTCACAGCGGAGGAAAGCAGGTGCCTTAATTTCTAGAACAATATGAGAACAAAAATTGAAGTTTTAATTTCATTTGACTTGGGTAGACAATAAACTCATAAATGAAGAAATGAAGTGGAAACAAACTAAAATGACCAATATGACTTTTGAGTAAAAGCACTTTAACCAAATGAAAAATAGTCATTTGATTTAGGTTTAATTCAGAGAATACTGTTGGCTCTATTACTAAATTCTGAAACTCACGGTTTGAATTGACTTCCAACTGGTTACAATGTTTTGTCTTTTTAAAATTGATTTGGTAAGTAGCTTAGTACAAAGAAAATTTAACGTTTGGGTTCAGAAAATTAGTGTCACATTTATTCTAGTATTTTTTAATGGTTTGATTCAAATTCATATTTGAGAGACTGGCAGAACAAAAAGAAAGTCTACAGAGTAATATAATCCAACAAGATAAAGACTTGGAACCATTTAAGAATTTAAATAAGATTATGGTTGGTTCTTTTGTATTATATCTACATTTTAGTACCTTAAATAGTAAGACAATTAACAATATGTCAAAACTTCATAAAGAAAAGTGATAAGCAAAACCTTTATGTATTCAGCAAACATATGGTGTACTGTGTTGTACTTAGCCTTAGGCTAAGCTGAGATATAGAAAAATCCAATTGCATTCTACCATTAAAGATCTCACAACCTATTTTGGAGATGAGAGTGGTATAAGCAATGTCAATAATGTAATGATAATTGCTATGGTAGCAGAGTGTGTAAAGTGCCATGAGAGCACAGAGGAAAGAACACTAAACCTATGTCAGGACCTCAAGGACATCATTCTTGGAAAAATGACTTAAGTCAGATCTTAACAAATGAGCATATTGCGAAGCAAACAGAAAATAAAAGGACACCCCAGGCAAAAGAACAGCTTGTACAAATAAATTATGTATTTCAGTGTATCTGAAGCATAGGATGGGGAAAAAAAGAAGAAAATGGATATGAAGCTAGAAAAAATAAAGGTAGCCAGTTCTCATAGAACTTTATATGCCATGCCAGGAATTTCATCTTTATGCAAAATACAGTCCACTTACAGTTTTTTTTAACGAGAAAGCAAGCCATTGCTGTGTTAGTAATATTACTGTTAATAAGGGCAGCTAGTAAAACTGGGCAAAATAACAATAGCTTCAACATGATAGGAGTTTATTTTTCTCCCGTATAATATGGAGTCCTGTGGTAGGCAGTCATGAGCTGGTTTGTTGATTATACTGAGTTGAGAGACAGAAGGATCATCTGTCACTCGGCTCAACAGTCTTTAGTATCTGGTTTTTATCCTCACTGTCATGGTCACATGGTAGCTGGCAGAGCTCAACCATCATAGCAGTGTTCTAGGCAAGAAGAAAGGACAGGAAAAAAGGGTGCACCTCTGAGATCTCTGCTTGGCAACTTTATTTGCAAGAGAGTCTGAAAAAAATAGTTTTTTTTAATGTAGGTATATTGCTACCCCTAACTATATAGGGTCTGTAAGGGAGTCTGAAAAAAAGTTTTTTTAATGTGGGTGTATTGCTACCCCTAACTATATAGGGTCTATAAGGAAAAAAGAGAAAATGCATATCAGGTGGGGAACTTGGGGTCTCTGTTATATAATTAGATTTGTTAGAAAGATAATTACAGTTACAAGATGGAATATCGATTGAAGAAGAGACTTACTAAAGTAAGTAGACTAGTAGGATACTATTTAAATAATTATGGTAAGAGATGTTAAGCTCCTAAATTAAAGCAGTGCATTGAGTGTAAGAGATAAGAGTTACCATATTCATCCTTTTTTTTCTTTTTCTTTTTCTTTTTTTTTTTTTGAGACGGAGTCTTGCTCTTCTCACCTAGACTGGAATGCAGTGGTACGATCTCGGCTCACTGCAACCTCCACCTCCCGGGTTCAAGAGATTCTTCTGCCTCAGCCTCCCAAGTATGTGGGATTACAGGTGCCCTCCACCATGCCCAGTCACCTTTTGTATTTTCAGTAGAGATGGGGTTTCAACATGCTGGCAAAGCTGGTCTTGAACTCCTGACCTCAGGTGATCTGCCCTCCTTGGCTTCCCAAAGTACTGGGATTACAGGCGTGAGCTACTGTGCCCAACCAGAGATACTATATTCAAGAGATATAATCACAGCCAGCTGAGGTGGCTTATGCCTGTAATCCCAGCCCTTTGGGAAGCCGAGGCAGGCGGATGGCTTGAGAGCTCACGAGTTCAAGACCATCCTGGGCAACATGATGAAACTCAATCTCTACAAACAATACAAAAATTAGCCAGGCATGGTGGTGCATGCCTGTAGTCCCAGCTGCTCGGGAGGCTGAAGTGGGAGGATCACTTGAGCCCAGGAAGCGGAGGTTGTAGTGAGCCAAGATCACACCTTGGCACTCCAGCCTGGGAAACAGAGTCAGACCTTATCTCAAAAAAATAAAAAAATAGACATAATCAATAGGATTCAGTTACTAATTCGATTGTGGTGAAAGAGGCTGAGCACAGTGGCTCACACCTGTAATCCCAGCACTTTGGGAGGCCGAGGCGGGTGGACCACCTGAGGTTGGGAGTTCGAGACCAGCCTGGCCAAAACGGTAAAACCCCATCTCTAATAAAAATACAAAAGTTAGCCAGGCATCAAGGCGGGTGCCTGTAATCCCAACTACTAGGGAGGCTGAGGCAGGAGAATTGCTTAAAAACCCAGGAGGCGAAGGTCATAGTAAGCTGAGGTCGCACCACTGCACTCCAGCCTGAGTGACAGAGCAAGACTCTGTCAAAAAAAAACAAAAAGTGGTGGAAGAGAGGCTAGAAGGAGAACAGTGCCTCTATAAATTAGCAGAAAACCTTATTTTAAACTTCAATAAATACTTTTTAAATTAATTGATTACTTTCATAGATGCATCCTTTATGATGCAAAATATCAGCAGACTATCCTATAGCTTTGCATTCTTCATGTAATCACCAGTTGATTAGGGAAATGGATTGTCTCTAGAGTTCAAGTTTGAACTAAACCTTACATAATAACATACTGTTTTTGTTTAAACATTCTAAATAAATTACAAACCTTGTAATAATTGAAAAGACTGACGACATATTGGTGTTTTAAAGGAGAAAAGAGGAAGATAGTTTGGAAGTACTCACAAAGAGCTAAAGCCAGAAATTCACTCACCCTATTTCTAGGCCTTGAGTTATTTATAGTATATGATACACTACAGATACCATGTACAGATAGTATAGTATATTTATGGTCTATGATGGGAGGAAAATAATGTCTCCATTGGAGGGGGTTGTAGGACAATTAATGTCCTTAAAAGACAGCTATGCTTCAACTTGAACAAGAAAGAGAAGACAGTATTTAGAGGGAAGTAGGGGAAAATAGAGTATGTTGAGTACCAAAGTGCACAGTGGAAGGCTTTGAGAAAGTGGATATATAGAGGACATAGGGTTATATTTAACGTTGTACAGGACAGTATATGGATGAGTGTCCATAATAATGTATGACCTTGAGCAAGTTACTTTGCTTCTGTATGCTTTAGTTTCCTCAGTTGTAAAATTCAAATATACCTCATAGGCCATAGCGAGGGTTAAATAGTTTATGTGCATTAAGTGCTTAAAAATAAGGTCTGTAACTTAAGTGCTCAGTAAATGTTAGTTGGTGTTTTTGTATGTTCCCCTTTTCTTCATAGGAATATTTATAAATAGTGTCAGAAATTTATACCACTATGAGATCAAATATAGGGGAGTTTGCATGCGAGGATGAAGAGCCTGGACATTTCTCAGAGTCTCTTTTTTCCTGATAAATATTCTTAAAATTGGTGATGAAAACTTTGAGGTAACACATTCTCTTTTGGGAATTGAATGTCAAAATTTAAAGTATTTACACTATTCTGAAAATATTTTCTTTTTACAAAAGTTTTAAAGTAATATTTTATCATTAGCCAATTACATTATATGTAAAGAGACCATTGAAGATAAAGTGATTCTGCACTATTTGGTCTTTATTATCTCTTTAGTTTTCAGAAAACCAGTTCCTCCATTAGAAGAGGCCCTCAAACAAATTCAGGAATCCAACTTAAAATCAGAAGTAAACCTTCCCTTTTCCCATAGACCAACAATAAACTGGAGGTAAGTAATTTATGATTATTGTATACAATTATTACAATAATTGTATAACCATCCAGTTGCTGTGCTTGTCAGCCTTTTCATCAGCTACTCCTCACCTCTGTTTTAGAGTTTATTTTATTTTTACAGTTTAAATTGAGGTACAGTAGAATGTAAATTGCTCCAAGAATAGGTCAGAATACCAATTTGTTGTCTTAAAGTCTTTGGTGTTACAAAATACTATGTATGTTAAATAATTTTTTGTGGAACATATCAAAACACTTTAAATATTGATATTGATATTTTGATTAAAATTGTAATATCTTTACTGAGAAGAGAAAAATTATGTTGAATTGTAATAAATTTAGGTAAAAAGAGTAACTTTATGGTAGAAATGGGTTTTTCCTCACTGAAAATCTATCTTGAATGTCTTGAAAAGATTACAGAGTCTCCTGGTTCTTCTACAGGATGGCATAAGTGAATCATCTGGAAGTAATAGGATAGACCAATCAACCAGTGGGTACCCTCGGACATCCTGTATCTTCCATTTATTTATTCCAAACATTTCTTAACGCTACTACATGTAAAGAAGTAGATCAGGCATTATAAGGGGATATGGAGAAGTATATACTATTGTAAAATATAATCCCCAGTGTATAATCTAAAAGATAAGTGAAATCGTGCTTCAGAAATATAGAATAGTGCCAAATGAGTAATTACAATAATATATAAAATTCATTTATATAAATAACATCTACAATTCAGACAAATTATGTTAATATTTTACCTGTGCATAATGTTATTCCATTTTTAGAATATTTGTGGTCAATAGTTCCCTTGATTAGGACTAAGAACAAGTAAATGTATCCTCTTGATCCTAATTAGAGTTCAGGAAAGACCTCATGGGACAGAGAATTCTTCAGCAAAGCTTTGAAGAAAATAGTAGTTATTTGGAACAAGTGAGTGGATGGCATTTTAGACAGAGAGATGAGCTGTGCAAAAGCCAAGGGCAATCGAAGCCATGATATACTCTAGGAGTAAGAGCATGTGTACATCATAGAATGCAAAATACAGATGGCTTTGCCAGATACAAGATTGGAGAGATAAGTGCATCTGTATGCCAAGAAATATAAACTTTACCTTGAGAGTTTAAGAGGAGTCAATGAATAATTTTAGACAAATTAGTGATAAGGTAAAATTTTCTTTTTAAACATATTATTCCAATCCATTGTGAACAATTGTGGATAATGGATTGAAAGGTGGGGATATTTCAATAAATGTAGAAATTATATAGCCTAGAGCTCAAGAGAAACTTAGGCTAAAGGCATTTGAAGCCATGGTAATGCATATGGTCAACTATGGAGAGTATGTGTGTGATGAGCACTGAAGAACAGCAACATTTAAGCAAGTGGAAAAAAAAGAGATGCTTGCAAACAGAATGGCTAGAATGGCTCATATAGGACTAGGAGAGGTCAGTACTATGAAAACTAGGGAAGGATAAATGTTCATGGGAAAAAAAATAGTTTACAGAGATCAAATAACTTCTAAAGAATCAGACACATAATGTTTGTCAGTCAGGATCCTGGCAGGAAGCAGGAGGCACACTTAAAAGAGGTGACTGACAGGTTAAGTAAGGGACTATAAAACCAACAAAGGATGGTAAAGCACCCCCAGAACTGACACAAAGTCAATATTACCAACACAGACCTGAACTGAAAAGAGCTGGACTGTAGAAGAAGGAGGCTGGACAGGTCCTGTGGTCTTAGGGAGAGGAATGTAAGCCACTGCTAAACCAAGCCCAGCAGGGAGGAAGTCAGAGGAATAATTATCAAAAACCACTTTGTTCTGTCACCCTCGTTTCTCCTTCTAGTCCCTTCCACTGGCCAAACTCAGCCATAAATCAAAGAGCAAGGGACGATTCAGTCTCTTGGAGCAGAGTCAAGTAGAGAAATGTGGCAAATGAATCTGGAGAGGCAAAGAGAGACTGTCCAACATACAAACAATGTGTCCACTGTATTTCACAACAAAAGAAGTTACTGGCGGCCGGGCGCAGTGGCTCAAGCCTGTAATCCCAGCACTTTGGGAGGCCGAGACGGGCGGATCACGAGGTCAGGAGATCGAGACCATCCTGGCTAACCCGGTGAAACCCCGTCTCTACTAAAAAATACAAAAAACTAGCCGGGCGAGGTGGCGGGCGCCTGTAGTCCCAGCTACTTGGGAGGCTGAGGCAGGAGAATGGCGTAAACCCGGGAGGCGGAGCTTGCAGTGAGCTGAGATCCGGCCACTGCACTCCAGCCTGGGCGGCAGAGCGAGACTCCGTCTCAAAAAAAAATCTACTGTAGGTCAGGCAGGGTGATTCACGCCAGTAATTCCAGCAGTTTGGAAGGCCGAGGTGGAAGCATCACTTGAGCTCAGGAGTTCAAGACCAGACTGGGAAACATGGCAAAACCCCATCCCTACAATTTTTGTCAGACCAATTTTAGTGCAGTGGTGGGGGCAGAAAATAAATTGCGATGAGTTGAAGAGAAATGGAGAGCAAAAAGGATAACAAGTTTAGTTTGACTGTGAAAGTTAGAGAGTGATAGGACAATAGCCAGAGGAGATGTACGGCCAATATATGGCTTTTCCCTTAAGAGAGATCTTATGATATTTAAATATGAATATTAAAGTGATAAGCAACAGAATTATAGTCTAGAAAGGTAGAGTAGAATTTGAGTAAGTACTTATCCTGTGTTGGACATTGATTAGCATGGATTACACATGTGAATGAGATATGGTCCTCTGCCTAGCAAGGGTTTGCAATTACATTATAATACTGTTTGTTGGTCTTTACAACATAATACACATGTAATACTGCATAATGGGGATTGTTACAGAAATACTAGCAAAGTAATAAAGAAGTACAGCATTGAAGGTAGAAGGTAGTCTTAGAGAATGAGTTAAGATTTATCAGAGAAGCATGTGTTGGGTTTTAGGCATGTGCAGTGCTACAGTGTTGTGAAAGGCATAGACCCCCGAGGAAATAGAACTTATTCAGAGTGGCAAGGCTATAGGATGTGTTGCTGATGGGACGGGGATGATCTAGAAATGTTGATTGTGATCAGATGTAAAATGTTTGTATGTCTAGCAAGTGAGTGTGAACTTTATCCTGTAACCAGTGGGGAGCCAATGGAGGTTTCTCAGCAGGGAGTGATAGCATCCTCTTTATTATTTTAGAAAGATAAATGGTGCAAATGTTGGAGAATAGAGAAGATAGAGACAAATTGGAGGCAAGGAGACCAGAGAAGAAATTATTGGAATAACCCAAGGGATAGATCCTTACTGCCTAAACCATAACAGTGCTATTTTGTATAGTGAAGAAAGGATGGATCTGATAATAAAAGATTTTGAGTAGTGAGAGTATGAGAGAGAAGAAAGAATGAAGATAATGTGCTTTCACAGTGCAGAGAAGTAACATGAAGAAATAAGAGTTTAAGGATATTGATCAACTAGAAGTATAAGAATTGAAGTATAGGCTGGGCATAGTGACCCATACCTGTAATTTCAGTGCTTTGGGAGGCTGAGGAAGGAGAATCGATTAAGACCAGGAGTTCAAGATCAACCTGGACAATATAGCATCTCTACACACACATAAAATGTAAAAATTAGCTGGGCATGCTGGCACACACCTGTAGTTCTGGCTACTCGAGGAGATGAGATAAAAGGATCACTTGAGCCCAGGAGTTGGAGTCGCAATGAGCTATAATCACACCACCGCACTCCAGCCTAGGTAACAGAGTAAAATCCTGTCTCAAAAGAAAAAGGAGAAAGAGAAGGAAAAAGAAAAGAACAAGAAGATGAGGAAGAGGAGGAGGAAGCAGAATTGGAGAATAGACAGAATAGAAGCAGAAAGAAAAGATACTTTATTAAAAGAATAGATGAGTTTGGTATAGGACAGAGGAAATAGAAAAAAGCAAAAAAAAAATCAAAAGCAACTGATATTTTGAGTCTTGATGATTAAGAGAATGTGATTAACTTTTTTAAAATTCCCTTTGAGCCTTCTGAATTTTTTTTTCTATCAGTTGTTATACTTCATGCTAATTGGATATTTTAGTCTCTCTCTGTCGCCAGGCTGGAGTGCAGTGGTGCGATCTCAGCTCACTGCAACCTCTGCCTCCTGGGTTCAAGCGATTCTCCTGACTCAGCCTCCCAAGTAGCTGGGATTACAGGCACGTACCATACCCAGCTAAGTTTTGTATTTTTAGTAGAGATTGGGTTTTACCATTTTGGCCAGGAGGGTCTCGATTTCTTGACCTGGTGATCCACCCACCTCGGCCTCCCAAAGTGCTGGGAATACAGGCCTGAGCCACCGTGCCCGGCCAGATATTTTCAGTTTTGAAAAACTCTTGTAGAATGAAGAAAAGCATAGGCATTTTTCTTGTTCAACAGTGTGCAGTTGCTTGAAGTCTTAGAAGAGTTAAACTGTCAGAACAACTTTGTTTTGCCTGTAGCAAACATGTAGATATGATTACAGCAAGTCTATGCTAGGATCATTAAATAACACACATCATCTTTGTTTTATGAGAAATGATCTTCATTGTGCATTAGAATACCTAGTTTTCGTGTTATTTTAATATGCTATTTTGACTTTGACTTCATGATATCTATGTGTGCATGTTTCTATATGTATCACATAAATTCTATGTATTTGGAAAACAAGTATATACAATGTATAGTGAGAACACTATGATTTACTTATTAAAAAGTTAGACTTCTCTCCACAGATACCCAATAGTCTTAAGTAATGTATATGAAAGTGCTTTGTAAACTGAAATTCTATACAAATATGAGATATTGGAATATTAAGAATCAGGTGTTAGGTTAGTGGGCATATTTTTATTTATTGAAAATTTGATTAAGCTGAAATCATTGATAAACTACTATCATATTAAAAATACATTTTCAGTGGAACGTAAACCTCAATGTATTAAGAAATAAAGTAATGCCATGAAATAAGGGGCTTACAAAGAAGCAGAGGTATATCAGTAAGATTATTCTAATGTGGAAAATGTTAGTGGTAGATAAAAACAAGATGTGGGCGATGTGATCATGTAAAAGAGAAAAAAAAAGTACGATAAAGTGCAGGGCATTTAGTGCTGAGGCCCCAAGACAAATCAGAGAATAGGTTCTCATGAACATAGAAGCTGCTTCAGCAAATAGTGAGACATAAAAATATTAATAAGGGAGTAAAGTTAAAAATATAAGAAGTAATAAGTCTTCTATCACCACCAAATCCTTATCATAAAACTAATGTGCTTGACCATTCTGGAAGGTGTAAGGTAAAAGGGAGATATATTGTCTCCTGTATTAAATGGTTAAACTTCAATAAAATGATACTGCTAGATATCTATCTCCAATATCCATGTATTTGTGTTGTGGCAGTTGATCCTGAACTACGTGCTACACTGAGAAATCTGGCCAGAGCTGAGCAGTTATCTGTTGACCTCTATTTGCCCTTTGAACGCATGCTTTAAACCAGATTGTCCAGCCCATATTCCTGTATCTGTATGAGTAAAAGGCTTCTGAGAAGTGAAAATACTCTAAGAGCCAGAAATAAGAAATGGCGAACCTGAATAAGCTATGTACATTTTTCAGTCCATGTGAGAGGACACTGATTGATCAAAGGAAGATCATGCATGGACCCTATGGACAAAAAAAAAAAAAAAAAAAAAAAAAAAAA